CCCTGAAGTGGTGCTTTATCCTTTGATTTATGAACCAGATAGATTCTTTGTTTTTGACAATTAGATCTTCAATGTGAAGGTCATTCAAGGTCAAGGTGAAATAAATATAGGTGGGCTGGAAGGTATTGTCCAAAGGGGCATTGTGTCCAAATATGAACTAATTCCACTTACTTATAAAGAAGTTATGACCAATGTGAACTAATTCCACTTACTTATAAAGAAGTTATGACCAATGTTAAAGTTTTTGGATGTTCTAGAAGTCCATTCAGGGTACAAGTTAAAAAAAATTCAGATCAGTTTGAAGGTCTTGCCTAAGGGGGTGTTGTTTCAAAATATGAGTACATTCCGTATGCTAATAAGGAAGTTTTTGGACAATTTGACCTTCAAGGTGAAGGTCATTCAGGGGTCAAGGTCAAAAGAATATAGGATAGCTGAAAGGCCTTGTCCAAAGATGTGTTGTGCCTAAACATTATGCCAGGACATTATGGCCAATCTCAAATGTTTTTGGACAATTTGACCTTCAAGGTAAAGGCCATTCAGGGGCCAAGGTAAAAAAATACAGGTCCGTAGGAAGGTCTTGTACTAAGGGATCTTGTGTTCAAATATGAATCAAATCCGTTTACTAATAAGGAAGTTATGGCCAATGTTTAGTTTTCGGACAGATTGACGGACTGATAGACGGACAGTTCAAAACTAATATGCCTCCCTTTGGGGTGTGTACAACGTCTTGCAAAGAAATGCTGCTGTGCAAAAACGTTTTAATTGCTGTGGTAGATTGAAAATTATATTTTCACCATCTGAATTACATATTAAAACCATACACGCACTGCGCTTGTCTTGCTCACAACGAGTTTATGGTGCTCACAACGAGGATTAAAGCAAAAAGGGGTATATTTTCGTTTCTATGAAGACTTTTAGATTATAATTTACGCTGAAGACTTGTGGGCATCTGTTTTTGGTTAGAATGCACAAAATGTCGACGTTTTCAATGTTAAATTTGGTCCAAAGAGAAGTTGTATCCAGTTTTCCTGCTACCCCGAGTGACTGCGTCGCACGGTATTTCCATCAAATTGTCCACCAACAGGCAATATCTTTACATGTGCATACTCGGAAATCACATCGCTAGCTAACTGCATTTCGATATTTTTACATAAATGTCTGTAATCTTCAAAAATTATGAAAAACTCACCTTGTTTATCGTGTCACACGTCAAAGATGGGTGCTCACAACGAGGAACGGAAGTTGCTCACAACATTTTAACCGATGGACATTTTTCACTCGTTGTGAGTTAAACGGGCGTTCTTTTGCCTGCGTGAAGTTAATTAAAGGACTTAATCCTTAATAAATTATCTTGTTCATTACGTTAATCGATTGGAATTAGAAATTAGTACTTTTCACGACAAATTTTCAGCTGTTAAATTTAAGAAAACAATTTCCGCCATTCATTCACTGACAGCAATAACGGACCTTAAAATTCACACCTGACTATGAAAGCGCTGAATAACAAGTATCAATCAATATTGATAAGTATAAATGAAAAAGAAGGTGCATGTATAAGGTCTAAATCTAGGAAAGCTAATTTCAGTTTTGCATATGTTAACAAAACGTATAGATGTTATTGTTGAAAATAAATTGTTGCTATTAGTCACTTGTTGCTACGAAAATATAATGGTATCTATGGAAAACACAGGTTACTATGAAAGTCACTGGTTGCTATAGAAGTATCTGGTTGCCATAAAGGCGTAATGGTTTCTATTGCATTATCGGTTACTATGAAATAAACGGTTGCTTTGGAAAATAATAATTACTGTGGAAAGTCAATAGTCGACTTTGAAAATCACTGGTTACAACAAATGAAGACACAGGTTGTATGCTAAGTCTCTTTGTGGCCACTGGAATCACTAGTTGCTTAAAAATAATTGAAACACATTAATTGTAATGAAAAGAACATGTTTGCTAAGGAAGTCTCGGATTGCTTTTCAAAGTCAAAAGTATATGGTTGCTATCGAATTCACTAGTTGCTATTGAAAGTCTGTCTCTGATTTATATAGATTATTGGTTGCTATCAAAAGTCAATGTGATTGAAATCTACAGAAGTAACTGGATGCTATTAAAAGTAAATGTTGATAAGTCAATTGTTGCTATGGTAGTTACGGGTTACTATTGACAACGCTTACTTATGAAGGCTTTAATTGCTATGGAAAGACAATTTTGTCGAAGAAGTCACTTGTTGCTTTAGAAAGTTATTGTCTGTTATTAAAGTCACCAGCTGCTATTGAAAAAAAGCAACGGTTGCTAGTGAAGTCAAAGATTGTGGAGAAAGTGAATGGTTGCTATGATAATTATATGGTTGCTTAATCACTGCCAGCTGAATGTCTTTAATTTCTGCTTTTAACATAATTGGTTGCTATGGAAAGTCAAAGGTAGTCATTGAAGTAAATGGTTGCAATAGAAAGTAACTGGTTGCTTTAGAATCAATGGAAGCAGTAGAAATGTAATGGTTGCATAGGAAATCACTTCATTCTATAGAATATCAATAGTGCTAAAATACTGGTTACCAAGAGGTTGCATTGGCTACATGAAAATCACTGGTTGTTAAAGAAAGCCTATATTTGCTATGGATTCAAAGGTCAATGGTAAATATGAAATTTTCTGGTTCCTTTGGGAAGTCAATGTTTGCTATGGTAATGCCTGCTTTGAAAATCACTGGCTGCTACTGAAAATAAATGGTTGCTCTTGAAGTCATCGGTGTATAGAAATTCATGGTTGCCATATAAATGACAGCTTGGTAAGTGGTGTCAACGGTTGCTGTAGATACAGCGGATACTAAAGAAAGTCAATGACGGCTTTGAAAATAAAATGGTTGGTATGATAGTTATAGCATTTTGATTGTTCATATAAGATGTTGCTATAGTTGAGCACTATAATAAAATCTATCAGACCCCAATGACAGGTCAAATTTAGACCTTGGGGGAAATATTGTTAACAAACATGGAAGAGACCGACTAGATGTTTTCATGTTCGCAGTGAACAATGTTTTGTGGTTTACATTATGACAACACCAAACGAAAATATTTTGCTTTTGGACAGTGATAGAAAAAATAGGAACAAGTGGCTCGGGTTTGGGTTGGGGTTAATTTGCGTTTATTTCCCACGTTCCAATTGACTCGTTTATACCTTTTGATATCACACAAATTAGTGAATAACATCTTTAGGAGATGGTGTTTGTTTCATTTTCTTGAACAACACAATTAAAAAAAGTTTTCAAACACCCATTAACTGACAATAATAAATAATTGAAAATAGAAAAACTCGGCAAATTATTTTTGGAGTCTTTGTGCAAACATTTGAAAAAATAATCAAGGAACGTAAATATTAGAAAAATGATAAGTATAATAAAATGATAACAAAATGAAAAATAACAAAATGCGTTTATTGATAAAGAATAATTATATATTTATTAAGAAAAACAGACTAACTGTAAAAAGAGATTGGCAGTCTTTTTATATTTTTGGCAGATTTTAAATTTTCTCCTTAACATTTTCCAATATAATCTGTTGGTCAAACATCATTTAAACAGTCAATCATTTAAAATATAAAGTCAATTCAGCTCAACTTGACAATGAAAATACGAGCATAATGTCACTTTAACTTTGTTAAAAAATGAAATAAAATACAGTAGTGATATACAGGCTAAATACATTTTTGAAAGTCTGTTCTTGTGCGACATTAAATTTCGAGGATTGACAAAATCTTTACATTATTTTCTGTTCTAAACGTTCGAAACCTTATGTGTAAAAGGCATGTAATTACTAAGTAGGTAAAATGGAAGACCCAAACAGTTATTTGCCCTTATATGAAAATTCAAATTATTTGCGCGATGATATTACCTCAGAGCCACGTGTTCTTGGTCTTGTGTCAGAAAATTTACAAATGGGTAAAATACTAATATATTTTTCGGGTAATAGAATAGTATCACACGTACCCCTTTAAACATGAAACTTTTATGAAATACGTACTTGTGAACATATGATAATTTTGATAAATTCAGGTCAGGTATGAGTTTAACTCATATTGAATTGAAACATTCCATGCCATTATAGAATTGGTAACCTTATCACAGTATTGTATCTTTAAATAGATACTGCATATTAGAATTATAAGACCCTTTTTACTACAGTCTTCTTATATTATAGTGAAACAAGACAAAATACTTTTATATTTTTTTTATTTCTCACCAATTCAATGCACTCATATAAAACATTACAAATTCTTAAAAAATATTAACTGTATTGTCTCTGTCATTTCTTATTATGAATTATATTATAACAGTTATATGTTTTATAATTCTGTATATAATACTATTTCATTCATGTAACTTTCTAATAGTATTTACATCATAATTTGCAGACAAACCCGAGGTTCTGTAAGCTAGCTGTATAGTTTCTTCACGTGAAATAATCCTTACTCGCTGCCGAATTGGTTTGCTGTAAAGGGCCGAAACCACGCGGTCACGGAATCAATACAACAAATATAAAAAAAGCTTTAACATAGAGTTTGTAATTTCAGACCTTTGTATAAGAATCCCGCATATAACAGAAAAAAATATGTTAATGCAATCTAAAATAAAATAAACAAATGAAGGCAAATTAGAAGGAATGGCACATAATTTCTTCGGAATATTTAATAAATGATTCAGAATTGTTTTATTTACAAATGGATAATGTTCATTATGGTATCTGACAACAGTTGTTGTTTTTGTCACGTAATCGGTTACAGATAATCAAAAGTAAATTCTACAAGTATCAAAAATAACAGATTATTCAATTGTAGTCTATAACATGATTTTCCCCACTTTCATAGAACAAACTTAACCACTAAGCGCGCTTTTAAACGGGATTTTAGCAACTTTTTAAATTTTAAATTTTCATAAAAATGAAAAACTTTCTAATAAAAAAGGCTCGTTTTTATCCCCAACCCCTCTAACCCCCTTATAAATGTATAATTCATGATTATAAATAAAAATAATTATGTTTTAATAAAGGCATAATAGCTGCAAGAGTTGTTGAAGCTACCACAAATAAATTGTGCCCGGTACAAATTGTAGAATTCTTAGAAAACAGTCGCTATCAATATAAATGTAGTTATACTTTTCGACGTTTAGAACATCTAACCTCCTTTACATATTTTGTTTTGAAATAATTATTTTCTTGTGTTTTACACAATGCTAACACTTTGTCAACGTATCATATTTGAATAAGACGCGTATGTTATTGTTAGACTGATGAGGGATGAAGGTCCGACCCTTAAGAGTCACGATGCGGATGCAATAAACGGGGTTACCTTCGGTCAATATATGGGGATGGTATTTAAAGCTGTCAATGGATAAAGATATAAAACACAAATATTAAAAAACACTTTTGTATAAGCAAAATATATATAAGATTTGTTTAAAGATAATAAAAGAATATAATCTGATGTATTATTTTAGAATTAATTGTTTTGTTATATAGAAGTATCGCATAATTATCGCTTTATTCAACAATTGATTTCAAGATCATGTGACGGTTATTCCTCTCGTACTAAAAATGCGAGATATGCTAATGCGTATTTGTATACATGTAGCTATGCCTTTTATACTTTAAAATAAGTAATTACATTATAGCTCATATTGTCATGTTATTCATTAATAAGGTATTAAATAAAATTGTAAACTTGTTTTTATACATGCATAGCATAAATGTCAACCAGCTATTACTTAATCTAATTCATTTTAAACTTCAAGAAATGACCGACTTTCAAAATCGCCAAGCTTGTTTTGGCGTTATCGTTTTTTGTGTGTAAGAAGGTCTACTACGTTGACGTGATGAATATTCAGGGCTAACTCTAGGCTTGTAACTAATTGAAGTCGACGAGTAGTTGTCGTACGGTCGCGAATTCTTCGTCAAGTTATATCTTTGATCCCGAGTATATGTGTTATAATAATAACTTGTATCACCCAGATCGCTAATCGAAGAATCAAATCTTTCATGACTACGCAATTGGCTTTCATAATTTCTTGAATCGTAAATTGTCTCTCCACCGTAGGTTTTATAGTGCTCTTGTCTTTCATAAACATCTGCTACTGTGTCATCTTTATGTTCGTTGTTGTATCGGTCTGAGCTAGAGAAGAAGTCAACCGTTTCATCATTCAAATATTCACGTTTTTTACTCAAGTTTGGTGCGGAGTTTGGTCGATGCGAATGATCTGCTTTTCCTTGAGCAACTCCTTTGCAAAGAACTGAACCACCTGTGTGCAATAAAAGAGCAGGCCATACAACATACGCCACAGTATTTCCTCTCTGTGTGTATGCTTTGTATAAATCCGTATTAAAAACATCTCCTCGCCTGATATTAGGACCAAACGAAAGCGGTGGGTCTTGAACCTAAAAATAAGTTTACTTTTATATAATCAAAAGTTTTCAATATTTGAATTAATATATTAGACTCAACAAAATACCAAAAACACTTAGACTAGTACAACAATTATAATCAATTAATCAAAGCTGAATTTATAAATATGTAAAAATATTGTTCTGCCTACAATCTAAGCATTCTGCAGTTTAAATTGACCCGCTTTTGCAGTATAATGTAAGTGTTATATAATGATAATAGTGTTAAGAAAATATGTTTTAAAAAGGAAAACCAACTTGTAACAATCCAATTTCGCAACAATGAGGTTGCAGACATTTACGATAATAAAACTACTTAAAGTCGAGTCTTGGTACCACAAGAAAAAAACAGCAGTCGATATGAAACCCATTTTATTAACGAAATGTAGATATTGTAGGAGTGTTTATTGTATAATTTACACATCCGGCTAACACCGTTTTTACGGGGAAATCAAAGTAACATGGTCAGAAAAATATGTGAGAAGCACAACAAAAATTAATGTTTATTATGTTTATAAACAGCAAAGATGACGCAGGCACCGATATAATATAATGTTTAATAATGTTTGTTTCAATAACTTTCAAACTTAGAAATTTAAATCGACCCCATATCATATTTGTTCAGGAGAGTTACAATATTGTTATAATTTTGATATGCGCTGCATGCAAAAATGATTCTATTAATATAATTATGAAGTTCGTGTATGTCAACAGAAATGCAATTGACATTTTGTTTTTACAACAAAATGTCAGATGTTGGTTTCCAATAAATTGTTGATTTAACGTACTATATAAAACCTGATCAGTCAACTTTTTTTCTGCTAAACAGTCCTTTATTACTTCATACAATACGTTTTAAGATATGCTATGTCAAACATAGAATATTGAAACAGTGACACATTTTACTTACTACCATTAGCCAGCATAAATTGAAACACGCTTCGAAATATTCCGGAACAAGTCTTGCTTTTTGAGCGGTAGATGATGAGGAATATCTCAGGTCTTCATAGCGTTTCTACAATTACACAGATATATTAAGTCTTAAACAACGAATGAATTAAGTAACGACATTTGAAATTGTAAAAAATTGTAAAACCAAGGAAATAAGTGTTTTAGACGCAGAAGATCATGCTTAGAGAATAGCAAATCATTCAAATTAATTATGCAGTGATGCGGGTCTCATTCCTACATATGTATATTAGTCATTTAGTAGAAACTGTTAATTTTGTCAATGAGTGTACATGACATTAGATACAGCGACACATATGTATGTCGTACATGTAACTACCATCAAATTTAATGCTTAATGGAATGGAAATGTATTCTAAAGAAATGCATGGTGAATATGACCTTTGGCTTCTGATAGCAAAATTATGTAGAGTTGAGATGTAATGGAATTATTGTATTCAAGTATCTATTGTTTCATTTTGGCCGTATGTAAAATAAAAATCAATAGAGGTGAGATTCTACATATTAAGGATTTTGAACCAAGCTGGTAAAATCTAGCCGAAATTAAAAGGCCGTAAATATCATCATCTTAATGTAACAAAAACTCCTGTATTATGACTTTAAACCCGGATGGGTTTTTTTTGTTAAAGATGTAAACAACATGTGTCAACGAGAGGGAGTATTGACCAAAACAGAATACCTTATACACTTGTTTCGCAGAATATACAGCGACAGCTTTCCTGCATTCCTTCAATGGTTTGCTAATACTTGAAATAACTTTAGCATCCACCTACATTTGAAACAATACACGTCAGTTTCTAGTAGTAACAATTTTTTTTATATGTCCATACAATCAAACAAATTTAACGAAAACTGATTGTCAGAGATGGAATATTTTAATACTAAGCTCAATTATTCCATATAATAATAAAATAACACTTTCTACTGCAAAGAAGGACTTTGAATTTGAAACATGTACGTTTGAAAACAGTTGGAACACATTCGGTCATGCATTTACATTTACTTAACTTCGTGTGACAAGTATCTTGTCTGCTTTGTCGATTACATAAGGACTTGTGTTTCTTTTGCTTTTTTCACAAAAGATTATTTTATGTAGTAATATTGCCATCCAATACAAATATTGGTCTTAAAATGAATTTCATCATGTTAGCCTTTAAGTGATATAAGAGTATGAAGCCAAATACTTTTCTGTCGTCCTGTGTCATAGCCTGTTGTATTTTTGTCATTTGTTGTTCTGCCTCCTTTTCACATATGGACTTTGTTTCCTAAAATATATTAACATATTAACATACTAACTGGAAATTCCCTTTGTACTGTTGAAATATATAAGACATGTGGTTACATACTTATAGTCATGAAAACATTACTAGAACTGTATTGCATACATTCGCAAATTATATTCCTACGACAACTGCTATTTGACAATTGTTTAAGGTATTATTCTAATTAACCAAACGTTTATGATTAAAACTTTGCTGTACCACAAGAATGCTGACTAATGTTGAAATTACTGCTTCCTCGTCATCACCTCGCCCAGTGGTGAGTCTTTCGAATGCTACCGTCCATTCGTTATCGTAAATTTCCTGATATACTTCTGCAAGTTTCGTAGGGCGGTTTCCGTCACTTAAATCAGCAATATTCGGATTGTTGTCCAGGAGTTTATTTCCCAATGACTTGCTAAGTCTGAAAAGAAATTTTGAGTTGACTCTTTTGGTTAAATAAAGAGTAATTGATTATATACTTTCCTTTCTTAAAACAAATCAAAAGCAAACACACATTTGTAGAAAAAAATATCTTTAAATTACCTTGTTTTAGTCTCATCTAGTTCTTCTTCAGTTTTTCTGAGCTTCTCCCTTGTGTCTTTAAGCTGTTTATCTAATGTAGAATTCCTCTCTGATTCTTGTTTGTCAGTGATACGATGCCCATATCGTTCCCGGTGATCTGTGCTTGTCTTGCTCTCTGCATGCTTTAGAGCTTGAATTATATCTCCCTGTTCTTTGATGATTAGTTGCAGTTTCTGTTTCTCTATATCAAAAGCTTTCTGCAACTCATCTTTGGATCTCAAATAGTTCTTCTCGATATCTTTCAGTTTTTTATTCTTTTCTTCACTTTCGTTGAACTTTCTTTCAAGATCATCGTACCTTTTTTTCATTTCCGAGTACTTATCTGTACTCTTTCGAGATGTATCCAATTCGTGTCGGAGGCCTTCATTTTCTCTTTTTAATTTGGCAACTTCAGTTGTATTTACTTGATAAACATCCTAAAGTAGTAATAGAACAAACTGATTTATATTGAACTACATACACATATTTATTAAATTAACAGTTTGCTACTATAAATATCGATGCTTATCGGTGCACAAACTGAAAAGAAGAAAAAATGAAAATTAAAATGAATTGGCTTTTGATGCCAATATTTGTTTTAGAAAAAGAGTTATGTTAAATAAATTTTAATTCTTTGTCAAGTATGATACCTCAATATAATGATAAAATGTGTACACATTATCTTTAATCCTCTCGATAGAAGATGAAGTAAGGTACTTCTCAAAGCTAAATATCACTTAACTGATAAATTGATAGTTTTGCTAAAATTGCATGTGAATAAGATAAAACATTATGCTATGTGTTTTAACATTTTTACCTTAAAATTTGTGTTCGTGTGTGTGTGTGTGTGTGTGTGCGTGTGCGTGTGTGTTTATTTCTACCTGATAACTTTTTGTAAGATCTCCTTACACTAAATTGCTACTTTCCAAAAATAAATTTTAAACATATTTGTAATTTTTGTTATGAATAATTACGTAAACTCATTCAAACCTTATCATTGTCTAATGTGTCCCATAGAGAGTTTGCTAGGTCATGAACATCTGTTGTCAACAATGCAAGAAGTTTTTCCAGAAGTTCATTTCTGCCTTGCTTTGTCTTCGGTCGGGAAGCATCGGTGTGGCTAGTAGCCCATTGCGATTTTCCGATATAGCTTAGTAAATGATAAGATAGAGCGGTTAATGCTTAATGAATATGTTTTATGAAATTCATTAAGAACAAACTTTGTTTCGAACAAATAATTATATGATGACTTGAAACATAAACAAGAGCACCGCTAGGCGGAGCAATATATGCTCGAAAGTGTTCATGTTCTTGTAAGGATGAAGTGTTGTTAAGACATGTGATTTAAATAAAGTATTACCTCCTTCAAAAAGCAAAACTTCTTTATAGCTGAAGAACCTTCATATATACAGTTGCTCTTTCCAAAGAACCACCATCAAGTTGTTATCTTGTAAATAAAAATGCTAAGACGGATGGGCGGAAAGACGCCAGGGGTATAACATAATATAAGAAATTTTTTAGGGCAATTTATGTACTCAATATAAATGCCCTTCCTATAAAGTTTGACAGTTGTAAAACTGTTAACAATATTAAAGTCATCTGATATTGACATTTGTCCTTGTGACCCCAATATAGATATGGATCTTTTATTCAATATATAGACAATCATCCTAGGAAGTTTGAACACTGTAAGCCAAATGGAACTTGTGTTATGATCCAGAAAGCACAATTTTCAATGTTAAGGTCATTTTGACCCTGACCTTTGATCTTATGACGCTAAAATCAAAAACGGTCATGTATTGGACATTGAGCGAAAACCGTTTTCAGTTTTAAGGTAATAGTGACCTTGACCTTTAACCGTGTGACCCAAAAATTATTAGGGGTTTTCAACTCAATATTGACAATTATCTTATGAAGTTTGAACACTGTGGGCCAAATGGAACTTAATTTATGCCCCAGAAACCGTATGTGAGAAGTTAGCAGTGAACAGTGAGCTAAGCAAAAATTCATTTCAATTTATATAGGGAAGTCAATGCTCTGCTGGAATGCTCAGCTGTTTTGGGCATCTAGCAGGGTATTCCTAAATATAGTGTAAAAATGCTCTGCTGCAATACTCAGCTGTCTTGGCAATCTAGCAGAGCATTCCTAGCTTTAGTGAGAAAATGCTCTGCTGGAACGCTCAGCTGGCTAGGCAATCTAGCAGTGCATTACTAAATATAGTATTAAAATGCTCTGCTGGAATGCTTAGCTGGATAGCTAAGCTGGCTAGGCAATCTAGCAGGGCATTACTAAATATAGTGTAAAAAATGCTCTGCTGGAATGCACAGCTGGCTAGACAATCTAGCAGGGCATTCCTAAATATAGTGAAAAAATGCTCTGCTGGAATGCTAAGCTGGCTAGGCAATCTAGCAGGACATTACTAAATAGTGTGTACAGATGCTATTCTGGAATGCTAAGCTGGCTAGGCAATCTAGCAGGGCATTACTAAATATAGTGTAAAAATGCTCTGCTGGAACGGTCAGCTAGCTAGGCAGTCTAGCTGGGCATGACTAAACATAGTGTAAAAATGCTCTGCTGGAATGCTTAGCTGGCTAGACAATCTAGCAGGGCATTTCTAAATATAGTGTAAATTGCTCTGCTGGAATGCTAAGCTGCCCAGGCAATCTAGCAGGGCATTACTTAATATAGTGAAAAAATGCTCTGCTGGAATGCTAAGCTGGCTAGGCAATCTAGCAGGGCATTCCTAAATATAGTGTAAAAATGCTCTGCTGGGATGCTAAGCTGGCTAGGCAATCTAGCAGGGCATTCCTAAATATAGTGTTAAATGCTCTGCTGGAATGCTAAGCTGGCTAGGCAATCTAGCAGTACATTACTAAATTTTATTGTAAAAACGCTCTGCTGGAATGCTAAGCTAGCTAGGCAATCTAGCAGGGCGTTACTAAATATAGTGTAAAATGCTCTGCTGGAATGCTAAGCTGGCTAGGCAATCTAGCAGAGCATTACGAAATATAGTGTAAAAAGGCTCTGCTGGAATGCTAAGCTGGCTAGGCAATCTAGCAGGGCAATACTAAATATAGTGTCAAAATGCTCTGCTGGAATGCTAAGCTGGCTAGGCAATCTAGCAGAGCATTACGAAATATAGTGTAAAAAGGCTCTGCTGGAATGCTACGCTGGCTAGGCGATCTAGCAGGGCAATACTAAATATAGTGACAAAATGCTCTGCTGGAATGCTTAGCTGGCTAGGCAATCTAGCAGGGCATTCCTAAATATAGTGTTAAAATGCTCTGCTGGAAGGCTAAGCTGGCTTGGCAATCTAGCAGTGCATTACTAAATTTTATTGTAAAAACGCTCTACTGGAATGCTAAGCTAGCTAGGCAATCTAGCATGGCGTTACTAAATATAGTGTTAAATGCTTTGGTGGAATGCTCAGCCGGCTAGGCAATCTAGCAGGGCATTACTAAATATAGTGTTAAAATGCTCTGCTGGAATGCTAAGCTGGCTAAGCAATCTAGCAGGGCATTCCTAAATAAAGTTTAAAATTGCTCTGCTGCAATACTCAGCTGTCTTGGCAATATTGCAGAGCATTACTAAATATAGTGTAAAAATGGTCTGCTGGAATGCTAAGCTGTCTAGGCAACCTAGCAGAACATTCTGAAAAATAGTGTGAAAATGCTGTGTTTTATAAGCAATCTTGCGGTGCATTCTGAATTATAGTATTAATAAACTCTTCTGGAATGCTCAGCTGGCAGACTGATTCTGAGTTCCAAAATTTATTGTTGCCAACGTTTTATTGACATTTTCGACTTCTAGGCACTTCTGAGGCATTCGCAGATTTTAAGGAATTTTTGGTGCCAATAGAAATAATGATTTTTTTGACTTCTAAGGACCTTTAAGAGACTATTTCTTTTTCATGCGACTTTTTGATGGACACTCGCAGACTTTCAGGGATTTTGGTGCCAATGCTGATATTGACAATTTAGACTTATTGGGACTCAAGAGTCCATTTTATTGGTCTGCGACTGATTCTCGGAAACTCGCAGACTTTCAGGAATGGTTGGTGCCAATGGAAACAATCATATTTTTGACTTCTAGGGACCTATAAGAGTCCATTTCTTTGGCCTGCAGCGTATTTTTTGGACACTGCAATTTTAAGGAAAATTTTGTGCCAAAGAGATGATGGAAATTTTTTTTACTTCAAAAGGGACCCGCCAAGAAATTTTTATGGGTTGCAAACGGGTTTTTTCTGGGGATTCGAAAACTTCAGGAAATTTTCTGGGGTTGCCAAAATGGGGCGAAAAAATTTTGGGGAACTTCCTAAAACCCCCAAAGTTTCCATTTCGCTGGTAAGGGGCCGGACTTGATTTTTGGGCCCAAACCTTGGGGGGGCAGACTTTTTGGAAATTTTTTTTTTCCCCAATTTTGGAAAATTAAATTTGGAAAATTTCCCTTGGCCCTTCCTAGGGAACCCCACGGGGAAAAAATTTTTTGGGTTCTGGCCGAAACCGGGGGAATTTTTTTGAGCTCGCGACTTTCAGGATGTTTAGTGCCATTGCAGATCATGACATTTTTACTTTTAAGGACCCCATAGTCATCAGCAGAGCTTTTTTACTCTAAAATGTCATTATCTGCATTAGCACCAAAAATTCCTGAAAGTCTGCAAGTGCCCAATAATCAGTCGCAGACCAACGAAATAGACTATGGATGGTCAAAAATGTTAAAATTGTAATAATCTCTGTTGGCACCAAACATTTCTGAAAGTCTGTGACTGTCCAAGAATAAGTCGCAGACCAAAAAAGTGGACCCTGGATGGTCCCTAGAAGTAAAAAATGTCAATATCTGCCTTGACATAAAAAATTCCTGAAAGTCTGTGAGTGCCTCAGAATCAGTCGCAGACCAAAAAAATGGCTTCAAGAAGGTCCCAATAAGTCAGAAATATCATTTTCTGCATTGACACCAAAATTCCTGAAAGTCTGCGAGTGACTCAGAATCAGTCGGAGACCAACGAAATAGACTCAGGAGGGCCCTTTTGAAGTAATAAGGTCATTATCTCCATTGGCACCGAAAATTTCTGAAAGTCTGCGATTGTTCCAGAAAAATTCGCAAACCAACCAAATGGACTCTGGATGGTCCTAAAAAATTCACAAATGTCAGTATCTGCATTAACACCAAAATTTCCTGAAAGCCTGCGATCGTCCCAGAATCAGTCGGAGACACTTGAGCATCCCGTAGAAGTCAAAAATGTCATTACCTGCATTGGCACTAAATATTTCAGAAAGTCTACGAGTGCAAAATATCAGTTGCAGACCAACGAAATTTATACTTTATTTAAGGATGCCCTGCTAGTTTGCATAGACAGCTCAGCATTCCGGCAGTACATTTTTACACTAATTTTCAGAATGCTTTGCTGGATTGCCTGGCCAGCTGAGCATTTTTAACACTATATTTAGGAATGTCCTGCTAGATTGCTTAGCCAGTTGAGCATACCAGCAGAGCATTTTTCGCACTATATTTTGGAATGTCCCGCTAGATTGCTTAGCCAGCTGACCATAACAGCAGAGTATTTTTACAGTGTATTTAGTAATGCCCCGCTAGATTGCTTAGCCAGCTGAGCATAACAGCATAGTATTTTTACACTGTATTTTGGAATTCCCCGCTTGATTGCTTAGCCAGCTGAGCATAACAGCAGAGCATTTTACATTATATGTTGGAATGCCCCGCTAGATTGCTTAGCCAGCTGAGCATAACAGCAGAGCATTTTTACACTTTATTATGGAATACCCCGCTAGATTGCTTAACCAGCTGAGCGTAACAGCTAAGCATTTTTACACTATATTTAGGAATGCCCCGCTAGATTGCTTAGCCAGTTGAGCATACCAGCAGAGCATTTTTCGCACTATATTTTGGAATGTCCCGCTAGATTGCTTAGCCAGCTGACCATAACAGCAGAGTATTTTTACAGTGTATTTAGTAATGTCCCGCTAGATTGCTTAGCCAGCTGAGCATAACAGCATAGTATTTTTACACTGTATTTTGGAATTACCCGCTTGATTGCTTAGCCAGCTGAGCATAACAGCAGAGCATTTTACATTATATGTTGGAATGCCCCGCTAGATTGCTTAGCCAGCTGAGCATAACAGCAGAGCATTTTTACACTATATTATGGAATACCCCGCTAGATTGC